CATTTGTTTAGCTTTGCCTTGTGATGAAGAATAACATTGCAAATTAGGTAATTCTAACATGACCAAGCCAGGCGTCATTTTCTGTAATCACATGTCGCTGCACAGTTCTGGCACCTATTCAGAGAGCCTCACTTTCACATCCACATCCAGTGTGCATGCTGACGTGTTCCTGCTGCTGTTCCTGCTGCTCCACTCAGCCTCCACCTGCTTTGGTTCTGCTCTGCTTGTGCGCAGGCCCTGAGGGCATTTATTTCTAAGTTAATAACCACTGGGGGATTATTTGCACTGGTCCCTGCATGTTATTTATCAATGTGCTAAGTATTTCATTCTGCTGCAACGTATTGCCACAGCAGGGAGCCTTTCTGACAGGAGCACCATGTTGCAGCATTTCCATTTTATGACAGAATGAAGCTTAAAACATGGAACCTGAACAGTGCAAGGTAGATGACATATTTCTTCTCTTAAGCAGTAAAGATCTGACATATTAGACAACCGTTTTTATATTTTTATGCACATGATTGTAAGACATATCTTTGATCCAGACTAGTTGTTCCAATCTGTTAAATTGTATCATTTATTTTTCTTTACCTGCATACAGAAAACCACATACCACCGTTTGGCCTAACTCTCTTTCCGGTGGCTCACAATCAATGCATGCACGTACTGTATGTACAAACTCTTATTTCCAATTAACAATGCATTACACAGCCTTCCTCTGTGATTTGCTTACTGCCATCATATAATCTCCCGTCACTGGGTGTCACATCCCTTGTCACTCCCAGCATGTAAAGGCAAACAGCTGCCAACCACCTCTAATCCCTAGGGGAAGAAGCCTCAAGTCTGGACTCAAAGCCAATTCATTTAACACAATTTATTTTATTTCATCGTTCAAGCTATTTCCCCTCAATGTCTACTCTCTGGACAGCAATGGTGTCCATCTCACCCTCACACACACAGCCACACGTTAAGACTTGTGTATGCACACTCCAGTGCTTGCCCCCTTTCTTGGCATTGATATGTTTGCATGAAATCTGTTAGTCCTATTTTTAGCCCTCATTATTTATTTCTTCTACACTATAGCCTGTTTGATGTATTTGTGTCCATTGTTTTGGTGTTTTCACTTAAAACAATGTCCTTGTTGAATTATAAATCCTAAATGAGACATCTGATTATCTAGGATAGAGCGTATTTCTATTTTTGTACAGGCCCCTGACAGAGCCAAATAATTATTCAAGACAACGTCTGGTGGATTCCTTGACTACTATATTTCTCAAAGCTTTTACGAGGTGTTTTTTACACAACTTCCCCTTAAATCTGTAAAAATAACACTTAAAGGAAGAGGTTTTGACCATTTAACTTGCCTTGCAATCCTTTTGTGAAATTGCTTCCGTAATGTGCTATTGTAAATTGCTTTTTAAAGCAACCAACGAAAAATGTAGTGTCCACATGATGGGAATGAAAAACAAATCTGGGAATGCATACTCTGACTGTTTACATTTAAGAAGAAAAAATCCCTGTTTACCTCGGTTCCTTACATTTTTGCTTTTGTATTTTATAACCAAGTAAATTAAAGGCCTAAAAACATTTCTTACTCCCTTTTTATCTACTGCATTTTTCTTCAAGTCCATGTTTTATAGCTCCAGACCTCACCAGAGTTAATTACCCCGTCCACTAACGAGCTTGTCGCTGTTGGATTCACTCGCTAATGTCTCCTGCAGGTCCATTTGAGTGAAATGCCACATTTTCAATGCACATCGACTCATTCACTTCTCGGGCTCCAGAACATAGATTTTCTTTGTCATTTCAAGCATCACTGCACTTTTGTGAGATATTTATGTGTCTTTGGGCACCGACCAACGTAAGACACTTAAATCACAGAAGAACCCAGCAGCTGCACATTTCCACTGCAGCGGGGTAGCCCCGTTTAAGCGTCCCTACTCAGGCCTCGGGCTGCCTCGCTGGCCGGCCGAGGCCGTGGCGCATTTCCATTACAGTTTAGGACCTGGGGTAGCAACGCAGTGTAGGCGGGGCGATCGGCTTTTTTTTCACATTTTGAGTTGTTCCGTCGAGCCCCGCTGGATTTTATCATCCCCAATGAGATGTAGGAACGTCATCACCCTCTCGGTCGACCACGTTGTGCTTTTCTTTGACGTTGCATTTTGTGTAGCTCCTCCGTTTACAAAAATCTGTGTATAAAAATGCTGCAAGCGCTTGCTTCTAGATATATATGTGACGCTAGGGATGATCTCTCGCGCGATCTTGTGACGATTCTCTCTGACCAATCAGCAGTCGAGAGTGTTGACGTCACTAGTTCAGCCCTGGCCCTGGCTGATAGGAACCACGATTTTATGGGGCCGGAAAAAATAGGGGAAAAAAGTACCCGCTAGCCGGTGCTAGCGCTATATGGAAAGGCCACCAAAAACTGGGCCTGGCAGTTTGAGGACGATTAAGGACGCTTAAACGGGGCTAACCCGCTGCAGTGGAAATGCGCCATTAGTGTCTCTGACAGCTACAACAGGCAGCTGCGGCTCCCTTATGTCTAATTTTGTATCAGCATCTGTCGTCTAGTTCTTTATTTATCATCCATTTGAAATCCATCCAGAGAAACTGCACTGCATTTAAAGGTCTGCCACTGTTTGTTCTCCAAAGTGGGGTTATAAAGTGTAACAGGGTTGTCCCCAGCAGCAGCAGCAGCAGCAGCAAGCAAGCTGCATCTTCAACTGTCAGGTCTCCAGGCTAAACTAAATTAAGATTTACAAAATACAGAACAAAGTAGGGAATTCAAACCTGCAAAATCCCATTTTAAATGTGTGTCATGCATTGAGAGCCAAATCAAATGTTTCTCTGTGTTTTTCAAGCCGCTGAAAGTGGGTGACAAAAACAAAACTTTATAAGCGTTTCACAGTCGAGCTAGACCGACATGGAAGAGGTGGAAAAGTTTTACATCCCACCCAATCAAACACACATTTCTCAAAGATTGAATTTCACAGTCAAAAACTTTTTGTAAGTGAGATAATAAAGAAGCAGCTCAAAGCTATATATGTCATCACAGTTTAAGCTAAGTGTTGTTAGCACAATTTGCTAAAGGGTGGTTAAGCTATTAATATCTCGTTTACACACTTTTATAAGGCTGCTATTAATTCCTATTTTATATCTTTTACTAGGGATGCACCTTATTTGATTTTTATTAAAGGGGTTATATTTTGCCTCATTTTCAGGTTCATACACCTCTTTTCACCTGAAACCAGAAAACCAAAACCAGAGCCCAGTCTCAGATTGGTCAACCGCCTGTCCCTTCCCTTAGTCTAACCATGTTTAAAATGTGTTGGAGCGCTAGCCAATAGAAGCCCATGTGTTACATGGTGATGTCAACTATCTCAGGGAAGTAACAAAAGAGCTCAATGGAGGCGTTTTCGGCAGGGGGGAGAAACTCCCTTTGGGATTTTAGCCTTTGCGGACCATTTACATCCAGAAAAACTGTTATTACACACAACAGGAAGGGAAAAAACATAAATCATAATAGGGCCCCTTTAACGTGGGCTTGCCTTTGTATTTTTCATGTTAAACTGACTTAGTGCATTTGCCTTATATCTGCACTGTCCCTTTACTGTAAACTATGTTCATTTCACACTGTGGTTGAATTCTTGAATGCCAGCTGGCAACTATGTAGTAACCTGGACGGTTTTTAGTAATGTGGCTACATAATTTAAAGGGGACCTATCATAGCAAAAATGCACTTTTGTACGTCTTTTTATTACATGAAATATGTGTCCCCGGTGTTCCAGGGAACTCACCAAGTGTCAGAAAACACAACCCTCTCTCTTTTCCTCCATACCCAAATCTCTAAAAAAAAGGGGCTGTAACGGATCTGTACAGACTGATCCAGATTTGAACACTGTGTTGACGTCAGGACGGTGGCGCTACGGCTATTGGTCAATTCTCTCCACTATCAGGGGAATGAGAGGTTGGGCCACGGCCGGCCATTGCTGCTCGAAAGCGCTGGAGACGCCGTAGTACATATGCCAGGCCTGTAAGTGGCGCTGTAGTCTGCCCAAAAGCATGAGAAGACTTCCCTTGCATGGTTGCTCTTCTGTTTATTCTCCGCTGTGGCTCTTTTTCTCCCTCCCCGAGGCAAGCGTTTGCGCCTCCTGCTTTAAAAAAAAATGAATAATGACTCTTAATAATCATATGTAAGGGATAATGCTGCAGCGACGCGGTCATTATGGGGAAAAGAACACCGACAGGCTGATCAGGAGCCCGACGCGAAGCAGAGGGATCTAGATCGGCATGAAGGCACATTATGCAATGTGCACATATCCCGCTTATTACATGGCCACATTCTCGACAAAGTTAACGACATGACTCCCAATATTAATTGAAATTGCTTTTATGGATTTAGAAAATGATTTTATTGATTTAAAAATAGTTGTATGTATTGATTAAATTTGACATGCATCCGCTAAGAAAAATAGTCCGTTGTTACTGTTTGAACTAACGTAGCAACGGCAGGAACTGCTTCAATAGTGTTTTTTAGGAGCTTTTTGATTACAGATTTGAAAACATCGTTGCTTGATTTAAAAGTAGCACAATCATTATGTCAAACCTTGGAAAGTATCTAGATATCCCTGCCCTCTAATGCCAAAGTAACTGCCAACTCCCCTCTCCTGCAGGGGGGCGTGGTCAGCTGCAGCTCACAGAATCAAGCCCCCTGCAAAACAGGGCTGGAAAGAGCAAATAGAGCGAAATGAGGCATGGCTAAATGCAGGATCTGTTTGGTATTTTGAAAATATATATATAGTTATATACTTTATATAGGTATGGCCCTACAATATATGTTTCAAATATAGCATGATAGGTCCACTTTAAGGATTTTTAAATACCAAATCCAGGGTTTCTTTGTTTTTCTATAGCTTGAGGAGCATTTTACTGCAGAGGATGGAGCATTGATGGATTGTATATCCCTGTATGACTTTACGACTGAGACCTCCATAATAGCTTACCTGTGCTTCGATTTGATAGGCTCTTGACCGCCGTTTGTCCAAGCAGGTCGTACTGGTTAAGGCGGGAGCTTTCTCCTTCCACCACGACAGAGTCGGAGGGCATTTAGAGTCCAAGCATAAGTCACTTCTGAGATTGTGTAGGCATCTAAAAAAAAGAGAAGAGGGATAAACCCATAGGGGATAAGTGTGGGGCAGCTGCAGCTATCGATGATTTCACGAGAAAATATTTCACTGACCCAAATGAAAAAGCCCCCACTACATTGTGTTTGAAGCTGTGTTTCTAGAAAATAAGGGATACTGTAGGGAGAAAAAAAATCTCTCTGTGGCTGAAAGATGGAATTCATACAATTGCCAACAAGCAATTGATGCTCCAGTGGCATTTGCCCTTTTCAATCAGTCGCACAGCGTACACTGAATATGGAATTTGAAAGCTTGTAGCTAACCTATGAATATCTGATGAAACAGAAAAACAGATTTTTTTCCCCTTCTATATACATTATTGAAATATTCTGCCAATCATGTCATGCTTCAGATTGTGGTGTTGTACAGAAAATAGGACATTATACTTTACAATTCCTTGTTTCTAGATCAATATTGTGAAAGCAGCTTAAAGCGAAAATCCTCATCCAAATTTAAAGAAGCCATGGAAATGAAATATACATAAAAAAAACAGGTATAAATTGGAAAAAATAAAGTATTTGGATGAGATTTGTATATACCCGTATCTCCCAGTGACATTCCCACTCAGTCTGGCAGTTATCTTTATGTATCTTTTAATTGCTGCATATTGAGTGAAAATGTGAAGGGTTAATGCCGGAAAAGTGAGGCCATGCAATCCAGCTTCACGGTTCTTAGGCTGCCTGTCTTTCTAAAGAACCAGTGAGCAGAAAAAAAAAAGCAATAGCATTTTACTTAAGGTCCCTCAGGCGCCTATCATCATCAGAGGTACTCACAGCTGCCAAATTTGAGTGGACAGGAATGAAAGTCCATGGGGAAATCCTCCAGATGCATTGGGCACTCTGCATGCACAGTTAACCTGCATCCAATTCACAGAACATTAAAGAGACTTTCCAAATGCATGAAAAGTAAACAGTACAGATTAGGCACGGTCTCGAATAAAAAAGAAAACTCATATGCCTCATGCACTATTCAAGACACTTCCCATCTGTAACGCCGTGGAATAAAAGTATGCATCTTGACTGTAAACAGCAGAGCAAAGTAAACAAGGTGCTGCAGCAGAAATCAAATAAACAAACGTTGTGCGACGTGACGTTAGCTTGGATAAGAAATTCAATCATCGTGAAAATAACTTGCAATAGATTTTCATTCATATTGATTTTCATGAAGAAAGGCATTGGACAAAAAATATAGCATCAGTGGCATACACAATGGAGCAATGAAGAATACATTTGAACATTGATTCTTGAACAGTAGTTAGGTCTGTCAAAGTGGAAAAGAGTGTTTGCTGAGAGGATGGAGACCACTTTCATGTCTGTACACTCAATATGCACCCTCTTCAAATGTTCATTATTCGTTTTAATCCAATGAATATATGGTACAGCATGGCCCTTATTTTAAAATGTATTAGCAGATTACACCAAATTAAGTTAATTAGGGTTTATCATGAAGTCTGTAGTTATTTCACTGTGATATTTCAGTCTTTGAACGGGGCTAATGTGATGTGATGGGATAACTCTACGGGAGGGCTACTATATTCATAAACTATTATTCTTGCCCTCTTGCTTTTACTGATGTCGTTTTATATAGCAACCTTAGTCACATACTTAGCCTACTTAAACAATGTGTTAAGTAACGCACATACTCCCGGGAAGGTGTCTGATAATGGCCTTTAATGGGCTGATAACATTCAAAGTTTGTTTAAACGGATATTAAGCTACAGCTCACTAGCCTGTTAGCAAAGTACAAAAAAATTGGGAAAATCTTGCCTAGCTAGTCAAATATAAAAATAATCAGCCGTTAACGTTTATTCATTTAAGTACAAACTAAATTTTGATGATACAGGGTGAAATGTCCCAGACTAGTTTATATAAGCGTGAATACATGCAGTGGTGTCAGTATCCCTCAAGGCAAGAAAGGCTTATAAGAATGTCACCTACTAGTCGAGAAATACCTTTAAACACATATGTGGCTTTTCTTTGGACCATGCTCCTTGAATTACCTCATGGTGTACAGCAGGTCCCATCATCTTTGATCCTCAGCAGTTTATTGGGCATGGTCATGTTATGAGCCAAGACTTCTTCCCGTGTGGAAGAAGGTGTCCGGAGTCCAGATTTTACTGGCCATCAGGTTGTTGAGCGGCAGTATATTCATCGGTCCGCTAAATTTCAACCTCTCGTCCTTCCAGCTTTGCCTGAAAAAGACATCGATGGTGTACTCCTGTAGGGAATACATGAGTAAATAATCATTTTGATGCTGTAACTTTCCATCAAGTACTTTCTGCTTAAGAAATGCTGACTACACCTGCCACTTTAAAACTCAGGCGCTGAATGGCTCTCCCTATTTGTCAAAGCTCCATCAAGGTGAGGCCCGTGTCTCTGTGTTCCCCCTCAGCTCTTCTAAGCGGGTGTTTTCTAAGCTTGCTCTGAGGCCGAGACAACCCCTTGACCTACAATCCTCTGTTGTCACAAGAAACACACACAAGAGAGGATTTAGGGCAGAAAGCGCTGCACTGTGAAATGTGTGTTCGTGTGAGAGCACTGTGTGTGTCTGTGCGATTTGAGCGCGCAGTGAGCAAAGGACTGAGTGGGACTGATTCCTCCAGAGTGTATTTTTCTGGTCACAGTTGAAAGGGCCTCTGACATTTAGATCAACTGAAACCAAAACGTAATGGCGGGTCTACACAATAAATTACAGTAAAGGTTTATTAAAATGTTTTCCTTTTGTCGTAATGGACAGCTTTAGTATTAGTCATCATAACATTCTACATCTTAATTGGGATATGGGTAACGCGAAAAAGCTATGTCAGCTGTCAAGTTGAGAACAAGCTAACTGTGTAGCAAATAATTTACAGCCAATTTTTGAGAAGTTAAATGAATTCCCCTCAGTCACTGTTCACACAAGTAAACACAGTAAAATGGAAGCAGGAAGTTGTTTTTAAAGCTCGATAGTTGTTTACAATCAGGTAATCAAACATAAAACAAACATAAAACAACAAACATAAACATAAAACAACTTGTTTATGTCACTTGAGATCAATGAAGGTTGGACCCAAATGCAGGACGTTCACGATCTTACTAAATAATAAGGCAGGGCAAGGCTAAACACACAGACCAATACTCTTTGATGCACAGCAAACAGGGATCCAACAAACAATGACAGAAAGACAGAATTTAAATACATGCAGGACTAATCACCAGGACAAGACACAACTTGGGAAGGCAGAGAAAACAAAGGGGCATCAGGTGAACACAATCAGGTAATCAAACATGAGGGGAACAACACAAACAGGAAGTACAAACAAACATAATACAGTGTATGAAGGATTTTAAAAATAAAACAGGAAACAAACAGTTCATGACAATGTTTACATAATTTACAGTTGCTTTCACATTTCACATCCTCCTCACAAGTATTAACCTCTAATTTGCTCCAGAAATGGCTCAAATTAGCCACACTACTGCACTGGGACAACATGTCCCTTCGATATGGTGAACATCGGATGTTGTTTATCTTGAGTCGTCCAACATAAAACATCATGCTGCCATTACACTCACTGGCCAAGTTTGTATAAATCCACGTCTGGAGATAGTCCCCAATACAAATGCACAATTTCCACCATTTGAGTAATATTTGATAACTGTTATAGAAACCGAGCCTTTCAAAATAATTTAAATACAGCCTGTTTGTATAGATGCAGGTCTTAGGGCTCGGTGCAGGAAACTACAACACTTTCAAGATCTGTTTTCTTTCATGTGGTTGGTTGACAATAAAAAAACGTCTCTTGACTTACTGTAGCCGATAAACCTGTCTGATCGCTTCAACTGCTTGTGACTCCTGCCCTTTCCGACGTTGTAATGACATTGATTTATGCTTAAATGCACGGTCACCACACAGACCACACCTAGTACGTTCTGCTGCATAAATCTGCATAAAGACAATAGATATTTTTTTATTTGCTTAGTTACCTTTGGCCCTCTTTGTTTAGCTAATGCTCTTTTGAAAGCTAATGCAGGATGTTTCTTCTTTACTTGTTTCATTTTTAAGCTTTGGCTGTCAGTCGTCCTCCTATAAATCTGTTGAGGCCCACCGCAGCAATCAGATGAATTGCTTTGCAGTATTTGAATCAATCAATCAGGTCAAAGGAGAATATATTTCAGGCTGTGCAGTGTGCAATATCAACAACTGCAATAAATCATATGTAATCAGCCTTGTGCCTTATTTTGCTAATTCTATACTTTTCTCAAAACATGAAATAAGAGGCATTATCCCATAGATATTTTTTCTCATTCTGTCATATTGGTAACTTGCTCACCTCTGCCAGTGATACTGAAGGATGTTTTTCACCTTGTCAACTCTGTCCATCTGCTTGTTTTCAAGATTTTTTGAAGGAACCATTTGGCTGAAATGTAGCGTAGGGATCACCCTCGGGTAGGTGGTGACCTGGGATTTCCTCGAAGAAATCATTTGAATGTCTAAGTCTTAACGTTTTCATATTTTGTATATTTGATCTGGTCCACAGAAGTGCTGTTATATCTCTCACAGGCTCCGCCCCCTACTGGACTCTATGGGTACTACCTTATCATACAAGCATTCACCTACTGAGATTTCTATAGAGTGGCGAAGTCCCTCCCCTTCCGGTGGACCTCCATGGGACCTTATTTCAGAAAAAGTCTGCATTGAAGTCAATGGAGAGAGAAAGATTATCTTTCATCCTGTTTGAATTGTGCCACGAATTAAACACATGATGTTTGTCAATTTAAAAGATCATTTCCAAGTCAAAAAAATACAAAGGTGCCGTCAAACTGTGAAGTAACACTTTGTTTGTGTGAACCGCTCAATGAACTAATCTCTGGTCTTGCAGAACAACACACGTCACCAAGATGGCCGTCACTACTGTCTTGTCAACAAAACGATTGACTACCCTCACTATCACCACAATGAAACACGTCCAGACGAATGTAATGCAAAGCTGCCTGCCTGCCTTCCTTTGATTCTCTCTGAACTGCCTGGTCTTTTTAATGTTTAATGTCAACCATTTGTGCAGATAGCATGAAGTAAAAAAGATCGGCGATCGCCGATGCTAGTGTTAGCATTTCTCCCCCGTGCTTAAATTGTGTATTATAGAATGATCACGAAATATGACTACTACTCTTACTGTTTAACATTTTAGGTTACTTAATGTTACTTCATATTAAGGCTAATCAAAATGACAAGGCTGTAATGCTAACTAACGTGGCTAGCTAGGTAGCTAACTTGAATCCAGCCACTCCTGGTCCTTTCATCAGTCGGGAAGCGAAAGAACGAGCAAGACCCATTGCTGGTATAATAACAACCTGGTACTAAGCACACAGGCATCTTGTTAAAGTTATCTTATCTTTCACACACAGAGACGTCACAAGCTACCCACAATGCAACGTGCGCCATATATATATATAAATACGCCATTTTCCCTGGAGGGGCTAACGTAGCCAGGCAGAGCGCACTAGGTTTTTTTTTTCTGAATTAACGACCGAAGAAATCGACCTGCATGTCTTCGGATTACATCTCTGGACTTGAGGGGTGTGCTCTAGGTCGTTACCAGCGTAAAACTAGAGCTGTGTGGGTTGTCCGATTGCCCTTACAGACTGCCTGCAGATGTATGGAAAAACGACTCTCGAAAGTTGGCCTTCGGTCGATTTTTGGCAGCATCTACGTCTATCTTCTGGAAACACCAGGTGAATACCCCACTTGTCACAATAATATTATCATGCCAATGCATATATGTGGTATTTTAGAGTTGACTATATTGATTAAGGCAATAGACTATGATATTCTGGTTGCACCTCGTGTGAAATGGCGGATACCGGAAGTACGGTGTCGCCCTTGGCCCCAAAACCCGTATGTGTGTGTGAAAGAATATAGATAGATTATATCTGGCGCTGATCTTAGCTATCTCTTAGTGGAGGAAAACAATTGTGACATCACTTACGCGACTCTGGGATTTGTAGTCTTTCTAGTTGCGTATTTTTCATAGTCTTATATTTCAACAGTTTTACGACAAACTGTGACTTTTTTGACATGGAAATTATTTCCATCATATGTGTAATTCATGGCACAATTCAAACGGGATCGAAAGATAAGTTTTCTCTCTCCATTGACTTCAATACATAATTTTTCCGAAATAAGGTCCCATGGACCAGAAGTAGATGGGCGTGACTTCGCCACTCTCTAGACGTAGCCGGCCACGGGGCGGGCCCTACCTGAATGCGTGCGCATCTCACTTCCGTATAAAAAGAGGCCCCGCCTCCTGACCATCATCCTTTACTCTTCAGCGAGCGGAGGTGATAGCCTAGCACTGAGTCCGAGACGTATTTTTTGAGAGAAAGGAAGAAAGAGAAAGAAAGAAAATGAGTATTTTTTGAAATCGTGCCCTGGCTTAAAAAGCGGGGCGCCAATCCCCACCACCTCTGCTTCGAGTGTTTGGGGGACCAGGATATGGCCAAGGCGGTGCCATTTCACGTTTGCCATTCCTTCCGAGTCCGGCGTCCATGGAAGTCCACCGCCCAGGGCTGTACTCTCCCTGGATGATGATCATGGCGGCGGATGTGTGGGCTACTCGCTCATTGCTAGAGATGCCCCCGCCTCACCAGGTCAGAGCGATTATTGGGCCGCATGGCGATTATTGGGCCGCATGGCGATTATTGGGCCGCATGGCAATTATTGGGCTGTGGAATTGCTCCGTAGCACAGAAGTGTCTGCGTTTTGCCTTCCAGGGGATAGCCTACGAGTACAACAGATTACCGTTCGGCTACTCCCTATCCCCACGCACTTCAGTAAATGTGTGGCCACAGCGCTTCAACCGCTGCGCGCCCACGGCATGAGAGTTTTTTCTTTTACCTAGACGACCTCATAGTCATGGCTGGGTCCAGGGAACAGGCAATGCTTTGCACAGCACAATTGATCACACACTAACCAAATTAGGCTTTGCGATCAATTGAAAAAAGAGCACCCCCATACCTCACCAACAGGCGTTGTAGTTGGGAGTGGTGTCCGATGCAGGCGCGCTACGCGCCACCCTGTCAGGGAGCAGAAGTGCGTCCCTTCTCCGGGCGGTTCACAGGCTGCGACAGGGGGCGACAGTGACAGCTTTAACTGTCATGCAGACTTTGAGTCTCATGACGTCTGCTCACATTGTGGTCCCGCAGGGGTTACTGCATATGCTCCTGCAGAGGTGGTTCTCCAGCCTGCGTTTGGATCCCAAGAGGCACAAACGGCGGCTGGTGACCATCCCCCCCTCAGTGGAGGGCAACCTCTGGTTCTGGGGGTCTCCCGGGCGCCTCCGGAGGGGGTCTCCACTGGGACGGGTAACCTCCTACATCACAGTGTTCATGGGAACAGGATGGGGAGGGACCTGCCTGTACACAAACTCGCTCGGATCAGTCATTAGCCCGCATGGTTTTTCATACCACTGCTACGCTGACGACACCCAATTAATTCTGTCCTTTCCCCGCTCAGAGACCCAGGTCGTCGCACGCATCTCTGCTTGTCTAGCTGACATCTCTCAGTGGATGTCTGCTCATCACCTCAAGCTCAACCTTGACAAGACTGAGCTGCTCTTCCTTCCGGGAAAAGATTGTCCCACTCTTGACCTAACAATCAACATCGGCACCTCAGTTGTTTCCCCGACTCAGACTGCAAGGAATCTGGGTGTGATCCTAGATAACAAACTGTCCTTCACTGCAAACAGTGCTGCTACAACCCGCTGCTGCAGATACACGCTTTACAACATCAGGAGGATACGTCCCCAGCTGACACAGAAAGCGACGCAGGTTCTGGTCCAGGCTCTCGTCATCTCACGCCTAGACTACTGCAACTCCCTCCTGGCTGGTCTACCTGCATGTGCCATCCGACCTCTGCAGCTCATCCAGAATGCAGCGGCTCGTCTGGTCTTCAACCTACCTACATTTCCCCACACCACTCCGCTCCTCCGCTCCCTTCACTGGCTTCCGGTAACTGCTAGAATCCACTTCAAGACACTGGTACTTGCTTACCATGCTGCGAATGGATCTGGCCCTTCGTACATCCAGGACATGGTTAAACCGTACACCCCAGCGCGTGCACTCCGCTCTGCATCAGCCAAACAACTCGCTGCGCCCTCGCTGCGAGGGGGACCCAAGTTCCCATCGGCAAAAACACGTGGGTTTGCTATCCTGGCTCCAAGATGGTGGAATGAGCTCCCCATTGACATCAGGACATCTTCCGGCGCAGACTGAAAACTCATCTCTTTCGACTCCACTTCGAGCAATAGAACTATTAACAAAGCACTTATATACTAATAAAGGACTGGCTTATCTAAAGCCAGTTGGTAGTAGCACTTGAAATGTTTTGGCTCTATGAAACCTGATGTACTTATATGATTCTGTTTTCTTCAAGGTTGTGTCTTCCTGGTCGAATGTACTTATTGTAAGTCGCTTTGGATAAAAGCGTCAGCTAAATGCAATGTAATGTAATGTAATGTAAGAAGGCTATAGGTGGGCGCTGGTCTCTAACAGAAACACGACACAGCAACCTCCTAGAGCTACGGGCGGTAGTCTTAGTCCTCCAGCATTTCATGCCCCTAATTCAAGGGAGACATGTATTGGTCAGGAGCGACAACAGCACCACAGTGGCTTATATCAACAGGCAAGGCGGAGTCCGCTCTGCCGCCTTGTTGGCCACAGCGGAGAGGCTGTGGTTATGGGCTTCAGAGGTGGTGTTATCTCTGAGAGCCCTCCATATCCCGGGACTGGAGAACAGGGGGGCCGACCTCATGTTGAGGGGCGGCCCCCTGCCAGGCGAATGGACGCTTCACCCAGAGGTGGTGAAGCAGATCTGGGCCCAGTTCGGGAGAGCGGAAGTGGATCTGTTCGCCAGCCGGCGCAACAGCCACTGTGCCCTGTGGTTCTCCATGGCCCTGAGTGACGACCCGCCTTTAGCGGTGGACGCGTTTGCACACGAGCCATGGCCAAGGATGCTGCTATACGCCTTTCCACCGCTGCGTCTCATTCTCCCTCTCCTGGGGAGAGTGAGGCGAGAACGTCTGGTAGTCATTCTGATAGCGCCGGATCGCGTCGGGGCTCCGCGGTACTCAGAGATGACACAGATGAAGGTTGGCCAGCCCTGGGAGGTTCCCCAGTTCTGGGGGGCGATGTCTCAAGAGGCAGGTGCAATCGGGGCGTCACCCACTCTGGGCCGTCCTCTCTTGGCTCCTAAGAGGGACAGGCTGAGACAGGGTGGATTGTCTGACAGCGTTATTCAGTCTATCCAGGCAGCTAGAGCAGGATCCACCACAGCCTGTTACAGGCCGAAGTGGCTGGGATTCCAGCGATGGTGTGAGGAGCGGAAATTAGAGCCCCTATATTGTGAGTTGGGCTCTATTTTGTCCTTTTTACTGGTGGACAGAGGACTTGCTCATTCTACTATAAAAGTGTATGCAGCAGCCATCTCGTCCTGTCATGAGGGATTTAACGGCAGGTCAGCCTTTTCTCAGCCACTGATGTTGCAGTTTTTACAGGGGGTCAGGAGGCTGCGCCCAGTAGTGCGCGCCTCCACCCCGCAGTGGGACCTGCCGCTGGTGCTCGAGGCTCTGGTCACAAAGCCATTTGAGCCTCTAGAGCTCTCCTCCCTGAAAGCACTGTCGTGGAAGACAGCGTTGTTACTTGCCTTAACGTCAGCCAAAAGAGTGTCCGAGTTAACCACTCTGTCGGTGCACCCGAGCTGTTTACTGATTCGGGGTGACCGGAGCAGGGCGACACTCAGACCGAACCCCTCCTTTGTGCCCAAGAGCCTAAGGAGTGCGTTCAGGTCGAGGGCTATTCAGTTGGGGGGGATTTAGTCTTCCACCCCATGGTGGGGCCAGGGAAGCAAAATTACATCTCCTCTGCCCGGTGCGCGCATTAGCATGATATGTAGAGCGCACAGCTACCCTGAGACGCACTGAACAGCTGTTTGTGTGCTTCGGGGGCGGGGTGACTGGAAAAGCGGAGGATATATGCACGGCGGCGTCTTGGTCAACGCCAGGTCCCTTCATAAAGTTTTATCTCTTGGATATGTCTGGCTCTTTCTCAGCGTCTGTGCTTGCTGGGGCAACACAAGACTGGTGAGGAGGGGGGGGTCTGTGGATCAGTGGGCATCTGACCCCCTCCCCGGGCGTAAATGCGCTTATGTTTCTCCGGCCTCCTGGAGGGTCGCGGGGTGACGTAATGCGCTTTGGGCCCTTACAGGGCTAAAGGGCTCCCCTCGCCTGCCTGGGGGCAGGAGGGGGAGAGCCCTCCATACTATAGTCCGTACACACTCTGCACGGGGTCAGTGTTTGAGTGTGGGGACATAGGGGGCACTTGCGCTCTCCCCGTGCTCTTTAGGGACTCAGGAGAGAGGGTGCATAAATCTGCGGACTTTCCCTGTCTGCCTATAAGTGGACGCAGGGGAGCCCTCAGCACTGTTTTCGAGCACACTTTTTTGCGAGGCAAGCGCGTCAGGGTGTGCTCTATCGGCCGCAGCCTGGACTTCTCCACGGTTACAACCGAGGGAGAGGTGAGTGAGGCGCAGTGGCTGCTAAAGCCGGTCAGGGACAGTGAGGTGGAATGGTGTGCTGGACGACAGTGCGTGCATACATCGGAGCCTGTGAGAGATATAACGTTGGGTTACGTATTGTAACCCTTGTTGTATTAGCACAGGCGGAGCCCTCTACCCTGGGGCACTGTCTGTCCTATACCGCTCGCTGAAGAGTGGTGAAGGATGATGGTCAGGAGGCGGGGCCTCCTTTTATACGGAAGTGAGATGCGCACGCATTCAGGTAGGCCCACCCCGGGGCCGGCTACGTCTATAGAAATCTCAGTAGGTGAATGCTTGCATGATAAGGTAGTACCCATAGAGTCCAGTAGAGGGCTCCGCCTGTGCTAATATAACAAGGGTTACAATACGTAACCCGGCGTTTCATGTTTAACTGAGTGCCCTCTAGTTTACATATCTCTTAGAGGCCACTGCATTGAACTCAAACAGCATAACTGCTAAATCAATAGATCAATCACTCGGGAAATGGGTCTTCAACAACAGAAGGGACACTGATAATATGATGTGAGGGATGGGCGCATGTCAGTATGATAAACAGGAAAGCCCAGGATAAATAAAAAGGAGTGACTGGAATAACAAGAGGACTTTCAATAATGTATAAGGAGACAATCATCAGATGAAAAGACGTGGTGCTGTGGTGTGGAGAACTGGAACATTATGAAAGGAGGGAAAGCCGTGATGATACTAAAAACACGGCAGAAGCATATTTTCTTTCTTTGTGTAAGGTATGAATATTATCCACAGCCAAAAGGGCTGAAAACGTATTATGCCCTTCTTGGGGTTTCCCTTTCCTGTAGTGTGTTATAAGGGTTTCTGTGCATGTAAATGGTCTGCTATGGCTAGAATCAGTGTTCTCTTCAGAGGGAGTTTCTCTCCCACACACTGAAACGCCCTGATTGGACAACACATTTTCATGATAGAGATGTTCCGCCCCTTAGCTTAAGTGGTTGACCAATCACAACAGAGCCAGCCAGCTAACCAATTAGAGCAGACTTGGCTCTGGTTTCAGACAGAGGGTGAAAAGAGGTGCTGCAGCACAGGCAGTATGAGAGAAATAAAGAGCTTTGTGAACATTAGAGCATGGCAACATGTCACAGTAGAGACATGAATATGAACCTGAAAATGAGCATCATAGGGCCCCTTTAAACTAAATAAAAGACATGTCTGCTCTCACCATGTCTGTGTCTGAAACTGGTCCGAAGCTGGTGACGTAGATGTTTGTCTTCACCTCTGTTATCCTGTCTGAATAAGAGAGAAAAACAAGGCGTCAAAACACTTAAGACATCAAAACAATGTTAAAAAGAAAAGTTAAAAGTCGTTGAAGTGGAGAATATGTGATGTTTTTGATGTTTCCTCAGACCTGTCAGATGCTTAGTATAAACAAGAAAACTGAACATTATAAATGAAAGGCTTAATTGTTGTGTTGTTTTAAGGAGAAAACAACAATAATTTAAGAGTATTACTATGAGCATAAAAGAGCTTTGGTCGTCATTTCTTTTTTTTGCAACAGCCATTTAATGAATTGTAATTTCATTTTTAGTGTCAGCCATTCACATTACCTACGCACGACTGACTTTACTGTCCTACAACCTTATTAGAGCTGTGATACGGTACTGTTAATGAAAATTAACCTACATTCAACTGGCAAAACACAGGGAGGCTTTTATTGTGAAGCAATCAAAGGAAAGGCAATGTATTTGGCATAAACGCTGACAGCAATCTTTCTTTCAAAATGAGCCTACAAAACAAGACGTTTAGACGATGCAGCAAATAACGTTGCTCTCTGATTGTTGAAGCTTTGATTAAATTGTAAGTCATGCGGGATTTACAGGGTCTTCCAATAGACCGACTATAAAGTCAATAACATTTTCCGAGTCAGCATATTGCTCACGATATCCTTGTTTATTGCCTTTAACTAGCAGTATTCCCTCGCAGAGCAAGTGTTGTCAGCATGTCTTGATAAACAGGCTCATTTTAAAGTAAAGAGTTATTACTGTACAGAGCCTCAAGCTGGATGACTTGGCCTTGTGCGCTAACAAGACTATGTGACGTTTAATTTGTGCTGGCAAATTCATCAAAAGGTGGGATCAATTTGATTTCATTTAAGTGACAAATTGTATCTTGTGCAGAATTCTTTTTCAATTGTGGCCTTGATAGATTTCTCTTTCTCTCTATGGCCACCCCTGGCCTCCGTAGCTCAGTATTGTTTAATAACAAAGAGAAACAGATGTCTCTAGAACGTATAAATGTGACTTGATACATCATGTTCTGATTATACACCAACAGCTCTTCACATTCAAAGATGTCATTTTGTTCCTAAGGTCACATACGGTTCAACGATGCGTGTTGCTGATAAATCCCGAGGATGAACTGTGCACAGACTCAGCTCACCTTTACGCGACCTGCCAATTCACAGGAAACTCTTGTAAGATTTATTATGCCACAGTCACGTGCAAGATGTGATTTCAAGCGTATACATTTGTTTTAAATGTTCACAGTGATGTGATAGATAGGAAAAGCAACACTCTCATACTGTATGCCTCCTGTTTAAGTGGCGATGTGCAACGTGTGCCCGCGCCGCAGCATCAGGTCCATTTGCTTTCTCTACACTCTGTGTCTTTCAATAATTACTGAAGCTCCATCTCTCATGCTCAGTCAATTCAAAAAGCTTTCACGTTTTACTCTACACTCTGTACTACACGGCCAGCAGCATCTCACACAAGATCTAAAGAGATTATTACTCCCCGGTAAAGTGCTCTTCTGCATGGCAAGGTGGCGCCGCCATTCAAGCCCCATATTATGAAAATGCTTTCTTATTTATAAGGTCATGTAAATCAGGAGGAAGTGGCAGGTCGGCGGGAAATAGGTGCAATCCATTTAGCAAGACATGCAGCCAGGGCGCATTTATTTATGTAAACCAGACTTGTGTATGTGAATCAGGCTGATTTCAAATGATGTTTTACTGTGAGTCACAGTTAGTTAGTTAGTTTGATTTCTTTAAAGGGAGATGCTCTTTGTGGATGCACATGTGAAACAGCATCTCGGTATAAGCCGTGTTGGAGAATAAACGCTGTCACACTGCACTGCTTCTTCTTGTAGAAAGATACTTTGTGGTGTTCTGGAGGTTCATACGGGGAACTGAAATGGGTTCTTTTTAACAGTCCATTGTATCGTGTTTTGGACATTTCTTAAATCAAATGATTTATTTGTCTCTTAGGTCTTTCAGGGCAGACAAATTCTGTGTGATTCTGATTGTTCAGCAGTACTGCAATACCACATGATACAAGTCTCTGTCCACCACTTTAAAGACACACTGCTCCGCCAGTCGAAAATCTGCTCAAAGATTGAATGAAGGTCAACCTTAGAGAGGAAAACCTGCAACAATTACATGTTGAGGCAGGCAAACAACATTATCCCTGACCCCAACCATGTCCTGAACAGCGAAAATGAATTGTTACCATCAAATCAGAGGTACAGGCTCCCAGGATTTAATCTGGTTAGACTGAAGCATTCTTTGGTGCACCAGTCAATCCTATAGATTCAGAGATAAATCCACGGTCAAATGTGTAGAGGGTCTTGTGATGTAAAGTGAAATGGCTGTTCCCTCGTATCTTGTCTTACAAATGTGTCATGTTGATGTTGCAAATGGAGCTGCTGTGATGGAAGAACAATTTCAGACTTGATCTACCCATAAAGTATTATTGTATGGTGTCGTCAATTATCAGAACAACTTTTTTTTGTAGTTGTATTTTTTGAGAAGCTTCGTCCAGATTTCCTATGTTTTTTAACAAATATTGATTGTATTTTGCTTCTTATTGTACAGCACATTTATACTTTTTTTATTTGTATTCTTTACATTCAAATTAGAATTGCACTGTTAGCTCTTTTTGGATATTTAAAGTTGATGTTTTAAAATGTTGTTTAGTTTACTTTAACTGGATACTTATTTATACATTTTTGTTGGATCTTTTGGAGGGAATTGACTTGAAAGTGTCATGGTTTTGGATTTTTGTTTTAATTTTCCACCTTTTTGTTTTGACATGTTTTCATCCTTGTGTCTGTCTGATTTGACTTCCTGTCGTTAGTTTCCCTCCTGTGTCTGATTGTGCCTCATTGTGTTCACCTGTTGCCCTTGTGTTTCTGCCTCCACTGCCAGCTGTGTCTTGTCCTGTGATTACCCTTCTGTGTATTTAGTCTTGTCTTCCCCTGTGCTCCAGTCTGTTCGTCGTCATTTCATGTCCCTGTCACCTATGCTTGTCCGTGTCTCCTGCCTGTTCCCGTCGTAAGTTTGTTCCTGTCTGTCGTTCTCCCCGGTTTAGTTTCTGGTAATTAGTTTCTTGTTTTTTCCTGCCTTCGGCTTTTGTTAATAAAGCTCGCTTTTTGTTACCTTACCTTTTTTAGTCCTTGTTTAAACTGCACTTTGGTCCCATTTTCCACACACCCTGACAGAAAGGCCTTTTACTGCATGGGCTAGCTGTTTTTTGTGTGTATACAGTATATGAGGGAGGCGTGTGGCGCAGTGGTTTAGTGCGTTTGTGTTCGTATCAGGGAGCACAGGTTCGAGCCCCACGGCAGTCAGCATGTCGTTGTGTCCCTGAGACACTTCACCCCAAATTGCTCCTGTGGGGATTGTCCACAGTATTGAGTATGTAAGTCGCTTTGGATAAAAGCGTTTAACATGTAATATGAGATATTATGTACAGTTAATGCAGGTTTGTTGACATTAGTTTATCCACCACTGTCGACCGTGTTCAGGATTATTTTTTGTGATATTGCAGCCAGCAGAAACAATCAGTATCAATGAAAAGAACCCACAACAATGAAGTTCCGAGTCCATTTGCATTGCATGAGTGGAGCAAACTCACAGGCAAAGCTAACCGTATTTGCACAAATGATGCATCCTCGCAGCAGAAAACCTAGGAAAGCACAGCCCTCGGGGAAAGTCCGTGTTTTCTATTTAAAAATATCCAGAGTGCATTTATTGCCCCAGGACGTCAGGACACTTATTTAAAGGAACGAGGACAATACCCAAAGTTCATTTATTCAGCAAGAACGGCCAGAAACATGTGCTCTTGTACTCAGCATCACATGGTGCAGATGGGCCTGCTGAACCATGTTTAATTGGTCAGACAAAAAAACCTCTCTTCTTTAAGGGGCAGCGCATCCTGCCGTGCGACTACACAAAGGTCAGCTTCAGACCAAAAGCATCCGCAAGAAGAAGAAGTTGCACTGCTGGATGGGACAGGGACAGTGAAGGAAATAACTCCAGAGGAAATGTCTTTACACCTGATGTCTTGTGCTGTCGGTGAATGGCTTTGATGTTTGTGTATAGTTAGCTTAGCTAGCTCTTTCATCTTATTGTATGAGCAGCATACCAATGTTGTGTCATATAATCATTTAAAATATATGAACGTATGTCTTATACTCTGATTGCCTTTTACTTTGTTAAATTGTATTTGTAGTCGTGCATGTGTTTAACAGAGACATATGTTTAGGATTTACTTTCCAGGAGGGCAAAAGGAAGTGTTAAAGGTGGATATGCAAACGGTGAATGGTTTTATGGTTTAATGGGATGTTTAGAATTGCCTAAGAGAATGTATAGGAAGTACCAGTTGGCTGTTTTCTTTGTACTATATAGTAAGCTGTGTTCGGTGTGCAGAACCTCTGAGGATGAAGTTGCTCTGTTTTGCATTTGAGATCAATTTGAATTGTATTTGACTTTCTTTATTACTTTATTAAATACAACAACTTCGTCCATTAATCATTTATCAGTTTCTTTTCAGGGAATTTGAATTTCCACAACAACCAACATTCTGACATTACATTATATGTCATAATTCATTATCCTAGACAGCCTACTGGAGCAATTTGGGGTCAGGTATCTTCCAAGGACACTTCGACATTTGAACTACTGGGAATCAAACCACTGACCCTCTGATTGGTAGAGGCCAATTACCCCCTGGACACACCCGTCCTTATGTGGTCAACTATCAGAGGTAACCAATCCAACCAAATTCCTACCAATCGTGACACAATGATAAAGTTTAGCTTCCGCTTCAGGTTTATTTATACTATGGGATGCATAATACATTTACGGCTGTGTTGTGATTTTCAGGAAAGCAGGTCTTTTTGGAAGAATCATGAATCATTTCAAAATTGGAACCCATCTATCTCTAAATCTGTCTGTTTTGTCTTGCATTGTATATTTTTTCTAGCAGCTGTTACCATTTCTGTGGATTTTG